CCCTAACTGACCTGCTCGCCACCAAAAAGGAAACCTCGTCGTCTCTGGATTGGAGCAAAAGTGCAGCGTCTGCCTTTTCGTTAGCGAAACAGGCACTTGTTGACGCCGCAATGCTCACCCATCCAGCCCCAAACGTGCCACTCCGACTCCTCACAGACGCATCAAGATTAGCTGTCGGCGCGGTTCTTCAACAGAACGTTTCTGGCTGGCAGCCGCTCGGATTTTTTTCACACAAACTCAAGGACGCTGAACAGACGTATAGTACCTTTGTACGGGAAATTCTAGCAGTGTATCTATCCATCAAACACTTTCGCCCCTTCATCGAGGGCCGGGACTTCTACGTTCTGACCGGTCATAAGCCACTGACATTTCTGTTCCATCGAAACCACACCGACTACATAGCGCGTGAGATCCGGCACCTCTGCTTTATCTCAGATTTTACCGTCGATCTCCGACATGTCAGCGGCCAGAAAAACACTGCTGCTGACGCACTCTCTCGCGTAGCAAACATTACTTCAGTTAAACATCCAGTGGATTTCGAAGAGCTAGCAGCCCCTCAGGACGATGACCCCGAGCTACAACGCCTTCATGACTCTTCTGCATCTCTCAAGTTCGCTGACATTCTACAACCTCTCTCTCCAACAACCGTCACTTGCGAGACGTCAACCGGCGTTTTACGCCCGTTTGTTCCTCCTACGTTTTGTCGGACTCTGTTCGACCACTTGCACAATAAAGGCCACCCGGGAATCCGTGCTTCACAAAAATTGATTACCGCTCGCTTCTTTTGGTCGAACATGAATGCGGATGTCCGCCGCTGATCTCGAGATTGCCTTAAATGCCAGCGCGTCAAGATCATCCGACACACCATCACCCCGATCTCACCATATCGCCTACCAGACTCGAGGTGCGCTCATGTCCACCTCGACTTGGTTGGACCTCTTTCTTCCTCCCGAGGTGCCTGTTATCTGTTGACTTGCGTAGACCGGTTCACTCGGTGGCCCGAGGCAATCCCTGTCCCCGAAATGACAGCAGAGACAGTCGCGAAAGCCTTCCTCGACGGCTGGGTGTCCCGTTTCGGCTGTCCTACAGTCGTAACTACCGACAGAGGACGACAGTTCCAGTCCGCCCTTTTCACGGCTTCTGTCTCCATCCCGGGCGTCCGACACATCCACACTACCGCCTATCATCTATCAGCTAATGGCATGGTGGAACGACTCTACAGGCAGTTCAAGGCAGCCATCGCCACCTACAAGCCGCTCGAACGTTGGGCCGACCATCTCCCCCTTGTCCTCCTGGGCCTTCGCTCGGCGCTCAAGGCCGACCTCGGCTGTACGGCAGCTGAACTGGTATATGGTTCCCCATTGCGCCTCCCTGGAAACTTTTGCCCTCCAACCTCTCCCGACTTTAAGCGCGAACCAAGCAGCTATGTCGCAGACCTTCGACAAACCATTCGTGAGCTGTGACCAGTTCTTCCTGCTCAGAGGAGTCCTCAACACTTTTTCATGAGCCAAGACCTTGAGTCGTGCACCCACGTCTTCTTACGGCGCGATCGTATTAGCCGACCTCTTACACCAGCTTACGATGGGTTTTTCAGAGTGCTTGATTGCCAGGTCAAGACCTACACTCTCGACATCAACCGTCATCATGACGTTGTGGCTACAGACCGCGTCAAACCGGCCTACCTGGACACTGCCCTGCCCACGCCCGGCTCTGCCATCACCACCCCGTTGCCACCTCCGACGTCTGCACCTAGACCCCAGCGCATCACTTGGGCTCCTCCGGCATCCATCGCTCTACACGGGGAGCGTTATAGCGACCCTCATGGTCAGCACAAGGCTGTCTACAAAAGAAGATGAAGAAGAGGCGGGGCTCGCGCGTCGCGGGCACATAAAAGCAGTTCAAATCCTACCGCTGTCTGTACTGGTTGCTCTCAATCACGGTGCTCTCAATCCAGCTCCTACTCATCTATGCTGTCATCCGTGTTGGCTGTCAGCTGGCATCTCCGGGTCTAAATTGCCAAACAAAGGCCAGAGTTAAATTTCACCTCCGGTGTTTCTGGTTTCGTGTGGCAAATTTAGGCCTAAATTTCCAACCGGGTGCAAAAGTACGGCTTCACTGCTGGCTCTTCGGCTCATGCTTGGCACCATGATTTGAGTCTGGCACTTTGGGAAATACGTGGCCAGTCAGAAAAAAACCGTTGACACGCCGAAAGAATAATACTTTCGAAATAACTAACGCCTTGGCGCAAGGCCGTATTATGCCCCAGTTAGACTCCTATGGTTGCAACCCTGTGCCAAGTAAGGCGTTTCTTTGGCGTGGTTCCTGGGTATTTTTGTAATCTCTATAGTCATTGACAGCTAAAACGCAGAGGGCACGGTGAGTCCTGAGCTTCTTCTTATTGTTTATTGGCCAATAAGATTGCGGAATTTAGCGTTAAAAACGTCGAAAGACGAATCACGAAGAAGGATCCTTGAAGATAATGCGGAGCGCAAGTTCGTCTGCTTCTTTTGCAGGGGTTGAGGTGACGTCAGAACGCCGAGCTCTGATTGTCTCCGATTGAAGGATAGTGGGTAGACCTCAAAGCAAGCTGCCTTCAGGTCTACACACTATCCTTCCAAGCGGAGCCAATAAGAGCTCGGTGGCATTCTGACGTCCCCAGAACTCGTGCAATAAAAGCAGACGAACTTGCGCTCCCCATAGGTACACCTTACGTCTCTCAATATTTTGGTGGCTGCAAAATATAAGTAAGCACTTAAATAACGCAATATTCATTGAGGTCGTTATATTCGTGTACACTGGAATGAACTGGCGCAAATGACCATGATATATTTCCTCAACAATAGCTCAAAACATTTGTATTATAAAAAGGGAAGTTAGAGTCTTCATGTCGCACACCCTCTTCACTCTCCTGATATTAGTAAACAAAACAGTGAAATACCTGGAATAATTCATCTTCATTTCTTTGTTTTCTTAAATGGTTCAAGACACGCAATACAAATGCACACCTGCAGCTGAAGTGACCAATGGTGTGAAAGTTTGACGTGTTCACGATCTGACTGAAGTGGTTCTCTGTTGATCGGACTGATATGATCACTATGGGATTCACGGAGAAGTAGGCATTTGGTTCGCTATTATGGCGAAGAAATAATTTACTTTTTTATGTGTGTGTGTGTGCTCATTTTATTGCTACTCCTTTTTGTACAATGCAGTGAGGTCAAGCAGAGGATATATTAACATTTCAACGTTGCTTCAAATTTAGTTTAAAAGTACCATTAACGCGAATCGGGCATAAACAGTAAGCAGTTTACACGCCTATTCTAACAAAATCCAGTACTCTAGGAAACGACTATGTATTCACTTTCCTGTGCAACAGAGCTACGGTCAAGCACGCTAACAATAGAAAGATCTTATCAAATGGCGAAGTCCTGTGTACGATTAAGCCAAAAGAATTTGATGTGCCCATGGATAATACACATTACGTTTAACTTGCTCATTGTTCCTGGACACGCCGCGTTTTGAAGGTCTAGACATATTCTCAGTTACGTCACTCGCAGCGGTCCTTAACCTATTCGCAGTTATTTCCTGTCTCTATGTTCTGCAGAAGAGTCAATTAAAAGAAAAGTTTTCGAGCCCGACATAAGCAGACCAGCACCTAATCCCTGTTCATTTTTCGATTTTTTTAGTAAGGCTGCGGTGACGCATAGGATTCCAAAGAGTGGCCTAGCTGGGGGTGCGAGCTTCGGCAATTTCACTGGGGCGCCTGTAACTTAAATATCCCCGTGGACATATGGGTAGTGTGGTGTTTCCAGTCTGTGGCTACGTTTACACGAACGGGACCATAAGGCGCAATGTCTTGGTAGCCAATCGAACTCACCTCAACTACTGTACTTAAAGAGGTTCGCCTTACTGGTGGTCATACCTTAATTCTAATAAACTGTTCCTCCAGCAGTTGATTCCATTCTTTGATATAATATTGTTCCCATTATCTCAAACTACACACTTCTAGTGAAGCGGGGTGGGTTCGATTTAACGCGTTTTCAAATTGATGCATTTGTTAGTGTCAATGTGATGCTCTGAGCTTGCATACATGTAAACTCGGAAAGTTTGGTGACGGAAATCGCCGAAGTCTCTGAATGTACAATACGGAACGAAAGGAAAGCGAGCGGCGGAGTGACAACCTCTCGCAATCGTCGCGCCCAACGTCAGCAGCAACTCTTGCGGAGCTTGTGGTGCGCTTCGAGAGTAATGACGGTGCTAAGTGACCTGCTCTTTCAGTGCATTGATTCCCAGCTGATCTGTTTCAATTTTCGACAATATGCTATTGACAATGCGGCACAAGCATTTTAATATGCCCCGTGATGACGCTAACAAATATTACAGTATTTTTCGCAGACTTCTCTGTCAATCGTGATGTTGCTCAAATATTGATCTAAGGCTAATATAGGTTTATTTCATGTGCCGTCACTGAGAATTTGAAACCCAGATGTCACAGTGTTAACTTCGTGAATAGCGCCGGATGTGGTTAAAGGCTAAAGCAAAGAGCCGCGAATTTCATTTATCGAATGTGCCGGCCACTTGGCACCGTCGGAACTCTCGAAGCACATCACAAGCTACGCGAGAGCTTCCAGTGACGATTGTTAAGTGATGCGAAGAGGGCGAAAGACTACCAGGTGCAGCCGAAGCCCCTTGTATCGCCAGTACCTGTTCAGAGAAGCCAGGAGAAGGACCACGATAAAACGTGCATCAATCTATGACCTTTTCTAAGCGGGTTGAAGAGCTGAACTCTTCACAGCATTCATGAATGGGAAAAAGAATGCGTGTTATCTAGATTATGAATTCGAGGTATTATAAGCAGTGTTTAGTGAAGGTAAAATGTTGCTAAACAATCGCTTAGCATAAAATATTAATTTGTAAAATCTCATAACGTTGCTGTCAACTCACATCGGCGAATGTGGGAATAACGTATGATAAGAACTCATGATTTTCTGGTTTTTTTGCAGGTATTCTGCAAATCAACGGATGATGATGTGAACTACAATAAGGACAAGTATGCCATTTTAATTGCAGTAGTAACGAAACACAAAGTTTGCTATTTTAATTGTATCGCTTCGCCTGAAATGCCATTCCTTGATAGATAATCAGCACAATGATGACTACTTTTTAAATAATATAGGAAAACGACTTTTTATGCAAGGTGTCTTTCCTAAGGAAGCAAATAATTTATTAGTAAAAAAAGTGAAAGTCGTTTACCACTCCCTGTAACGCCGAATTGGAGCGCAGCTCTTGAGGAGGAGGAGGGGAGGGTACTGAGGGCCACGTGTTCTCGGGGGGGGGTCACGTGACCCCCCCCCCGAGGGCACGTGACCTTGGTGGGGTCACGTGGGGGCAAACACGTGCCCCCTCAGAGGTCACGTGACCTCGGGAGGGGGTCACGTGACTCCCCCGGTCACGTGACCCCCCGGGTCACGTGACCAAAATTTTTCCGCTAGATTTAGCGGGGAAATTTTTTCCGCTAGATTTAGCGGGGAAAGTTTTCCGCTAGATTTAGCGGGGAAATTTTTTCCGCTAGATTTAGCGGGGCAATTTTTCCGCTAGATTTAGCGGGGAAATTTTTTCCGCTAGATTTAGCGGGGAAAGTTTTCCGCTAGATTTAGCGGGGAAATTTTTTCCGCTACATTTAGCGGGGAAATTTTTTCCGCTAGGATTTAGCGGGGAAAGTTTTCCGCTAGATTTAGCGGGAAAATTTTTTCCGCTACATTTGACGGGGAAATTTTTCCGCTAGATTTAGCGGGGAAATTTTTTCCGCTAGATTTAGCGGGGAAATTTTTTCCGCTAGATTTAGCGGGGAAAGTTTTTCCGCTAGATTTAGCGGAGAAATTTTTCCGCTAGATTTAGCGGGGAAATTTTTTCCGCTAGATTTAGCGGGGAAAGTTTTCCGCTAGATTTAGCGGGGAAATTTTTTCCGCTAGATTTAGCGGGGAAATTTTTCCGCTAGATTTAGCGGGGAAATTTTTTCCGCTAGATTTAGCGGGGAAAGTTTTCCGCTAGATTTAGCGGGGAAATTTTTTCCGCTACATTTAGCGGGGAAATTTTTTCCGCTAGGATTTAGCGGGGAAAGTTTTCCGCTAGATTTAGCGGGAAAATTTTTTCCGCTACATTTGACGGGGAAATTTTTCCGCTAGATTTAGCGGGGAAATTTTTTCCGCTAGATTTAGCAGGGAAATTTTTTCCGCTAGATTTAGCGGGGAAAGTTTTCCGCTAGATTTAGCGGGAAAATTGTTTCCGCTAGATTTAGCGGGGAAATTTTTTCCGCTAGATTTAGCGGGGAAATTTTTTCCGCTAGATTTAGCGGGGAAATTTTTCCGCTAGATTTAGCGGGGAAATTTTTTCCGCTAGATTTAGCGGGGAAATTTTTTCCGCTAGATTTAGCGGGGAAATTTACCCATAATGCACCGCGCGGTTACGCCGACGGCGACGGCGACGGCGACGCCGCTCAAGCCGGGAACGGGCCCCTAAGAGCTGCGCTCTAAAATGAAAGCCGTTTACAACTAACTGTAACGCCGAATTGGAGCGCAGCTCTTGAGGAGGAGGAGGAAAGGGTACTGAGGGGAGGGCATACCCTCCTCCCTCCTCCTCCCTCGTGATCCCTCCCTGCTACTCCTCGCTGCCTCTTTCCCTCATCCTCCTCCTCCACCCCCTCCTTCTCCTTCATCTCCTCCTCATCCTCCCGGGGGTCACATGACCCCCTCCCCTCCCCCGAGATCACGTGACCCCCGGACGTGGAGGTGTCACGTGACCTAGGTGTTCACGTGACCTGGGGGTGTCGCATGACCTGAGGGGTCACGTGACCTGGACGGCGGACACGTGACCGGGACGTGGCCTCGGGGGGTCATGTGACCTCGGGGGTCAGGTGACATGGGGATCACGTGACCCTCGAGTCACGTGATCTGGAGGTCACGTGATCTGGAGGTCACGTGACCTCGGGGGTCACGTGACCTTGTGGTTACGCCGACGGTGACGGCGATGCCGCTCAGGCCGGAAACGGGCCCCTAAGAGCTGGGCTCTAAAATGAAACGTTTACAACACCATGTAACGCCGAATTAGAGTGCAGCTCTTGAGGAGGAGGAGTCAAGGGTACTAGGGGAGTGTATGCCCTTCCTCTCTCCTCCTCACCTTCTCATCCATCTGCAACTCCTCCCCTCCTCCCTCCTCTTCCTCCCCTCCTCCTCCTCCTTCACCACCTCCCCCTCATCTTTCACGCTCCCTCTCCTCTCATCCTTCCCCCTCCCTCCTCTTCTCCTCCCCCTGCATCCTCCCCTCTTTCCTCCTCCTCTTCCCCCTCCCCCCCTCCTCTTCTCCTCCTCTTCCTCCCCTCCTCGTCCCCCTCCCCCTCGCCCTCCTCCTCCTCGTCCCCCTACCGGCCCCCTCCGTTCCTCCCTACCTCCTCCTCCCCGCGTGGTGCATCAGGGGAAATGTCCCATAATGCACCGCGCGGGACCTTCGTGACATCACACGTGGTCACGAGTGACGTTACGAGGGTCCTGCGCGGTGCATTATGGGACATTTCCTATAATGCACCGCGCGGTTACGCCGACGGCGACGGCAACGCCGCTGAAGCCGGAAACGGGCGCCCAAGAGCTGCGCTCTAAAAGACTGGAAGCGAAGAACGGATGTATTCGGGATTATGTTACCCACCACAGCAGATGCCGGGTAGAAAGAGCAAGCTCATAAATGGCAAATAAATACCTGAACTCCCTTAATTACCTTTTTAAACAATCGCTTCAGCTGCACATTTAATTATATATTTGTTGCCCATCGTGAAATATGCCATAGAATTTGTTACAATTTAGACAACTATATTCGTCTACGCACTTTTCTCTGCCGAAGTAAGGCTGTCAAGTTTCCGCCATACCAAAACTAGCAAAGAAATAGTGCAGAAAGTTAGACCTGGGAACACAGCAGGATATTAAGATCATCTGGCAGCTAGTTTTTTTTTTAAAATATATCAATACATTAAAGCGGAAAACGACTAGGAAGGAAAACCGAGGGATTCGAGCGCTCTTTCCTGGTCTCCGTTTTTTTTTTTCGTCGTTGTGTTGCGCTTTAGTATATAACAGCAGAGTAGGGTACACATTTTCTACGGCGAGGTGATCCTTATCGCCTCGCGGTGATTTCCTCCCCACGCCAGTTGTGGAGGCTGACGTCGCTTCCGGATGTGACTCACACCATTGTTCTTACGTCTTCTTTCGGTACCTCGTCCGCTCTCGGCTTTAATTTTCCGTGAAATAACCCGAAACAGAAGTTTGTTGCTTGGAGTCTAACAGCTGCTTTGGAGCATTTTGAGCACACGCAACCAACTTACGATTCAAATGCGCCAGTTGAAGCAACCATTTTAAAACTGTTGCATAATGTATTTTAGTTTATTAGTTTACTGATTATCACCTTACACTCCCTATCTCAATTCCACGACAGTGGGTAAGGTTAGCAGGAATGAACCAGTGTTTTATTTCCAGTGTGCTTTTATTAATGTTTGCCCAGTTTAAAAAGAAGAAACAGCGTTTTGTACGAAACGGTTTAGCTAAATTGTGTCGAGACCCAAATTAGCTGGTGGACGCTCGGCACATTGATACTTTAGACCCATGTTGTTGTAAAAAAAACTATCTCCAAACTGCGGTCTAAAAACATGCTTTTCGTGCAAGGCTCGTCAAATTATGAGGCGCTGGAGAAATGCAGCCTTCTGCGTTAAGTCCTTATTTCGAACTCTTTTTGTTCGCCTTCCGCCCATTGAAAAGCATGCGGGAAGGGCCTTAGAACGCACCTGGTATCGCTGCGCCGTAGCGTTCTTCCGCAACATGAAGTTCGTCTGCTTTCCTCGCCGTCACCATGGCAACGAACGCCGAATGAATAGAAGCACGCACGGTACTGCCGCGTGAAGCTAGCAACAGCTGACGCCATTTTACGAACGCCGTCTGCTAGCCAAAGCCGAACGCGGCGTGTCAGATCAACCGCCTCCGCCGGTGCGCCGCTAACAAAGACGACGAAGCAGAGACACGCCGACGGTGATCGAGTAAGCAACAACACCGCGGGGCGACTGCAACGGCGGCATTTATTTGGATCAGAGGCCGCCTTCGCCGGTGCGCCGCTAGCAAAGACAACGAAGCTGAGGCACGCCGACGGCGAATGGGCGAGCAACAGCACCGCGGGACGACTGCAACGGCGGCATTTATTTTGATCACAGGCGCGAAATAAGCAAGAACAATTTTTATTTGAATCATAACACCCGATATCCAAGTTGGGGACCACATACCTTTGCTGGGTCTTTCCTGTGAACTTTTTACAGAGACACGGGGTGCCGCATTCAAAACACAGCTCCGTTTGCAAAATATGGGGGCCCTGAAAAGCACCGTTTAGACCGCTACCAGAACCTATAACTGACGTAACGAGCACTTGACGAGCGGTTGGCGCATAAGTCGTCTTTATGCATTTTTTTTTTATACGTGGTGCAAAGTAATCCCGCCCCATATTTTTATGGCGTCAGGAACGAAGCAGCATAGAAAGAGTACCCTACAAACGACAATAATAATAATAATTAAAAACTGCCCGATCTCCGCTGGAGACTCCGAGGCACAGGGGAGTAGTCGTCACGATAAAAAATCTAAAGAAACAAAATAAATAGCCTAACGGTCGTCGGCTGCGTCATAAGGCCTCGCCAAGTGCGGAGTATAACGGTCTTGGCATACAGTATGTATTGTGCATTCGTTATTTTCTTTTCTTTTCTACCACGTCAAATTCTGACGCCAAGACTCTCTACCTCCTCCGTTCCAACGCGTTGTTTGTTATTATTTTAACAAATCAGCTTCAAATAAGGGTCGTGGCACCCAGTAGAGTAAGAAAAAGAATAAAAAAGGAATATTCCGAGCAACCAGAGCAGCACGGCTGCTCTGGCCGCTCTGGCCAGAGCAGCTCCTCTCATCAAAGAAGACGCCGTCCGAAACTCCAACGGCTCCTTTCTTATTTTTTTTATTTTTATTTACTTTGTTACTTCATTTTGATGTTGGGTTCGACTGCTCCCTTCTCCGTGACGATGCCGTCCGTAGACATACGTTTGGCGTTTTTTTTTTTTTTTTTTTTGTTACGCGATGGTGTGGTTTGACAGATCAACCAATGAGTTTGTTAGAATTGTGTCACGAGGTATAAAATGGCGGATGAAATAAATATAATAAATGCAAAGAAGCGCGCAGTTCCCCCAGGTTCCCCTTCGGCGCTTTATTCTTCCACTTCGAGTTCCCAAGTACAACATCCATCAGGCGTTGAAAACTGGCTGGAGAGTTAGACAAGCCAAACGGCAGTCGGGTGAACTCGAACAACCCTCTGTGGCAGATGAAAGCCGTTTTTGGAACGTCTGATGGGTGAATCTCGATCTGAAGGAACCCGCGACTGCAATCCAGCGTTGTAAACACGGTCGCGTTACCGAGCATGTACATCACGGAGGAACTGCTGGGGAAAGGGTAGCTGTCTCGTACGGACACATCGTTAAGCCGCCTGTAATCCACACAGAGTCTGGCTGTTCCGTCTTTTTTCCTGGCGAGAACAACGGGGAATGCCCAGGGGCTCTTCGACTCACGTACTGAACCGGTGTCGATCATTTCCTCGAGCGCCGTATCAAGGAGTGCCCTATTGTGGACGCTGATTGGTCGAGGGTTGCACCTCCGAGGTGGCGCGTCACCGGTTTCAATACGGTGCAGCAGAATGTCAGTCTTTCCAGGTGTTTCCGTGAACATCGGTGAGAAAGACTCCAGGACGGCTTGCAGCTCCTGCTTCTGCTGGCTGCTTGCGGGGCACTTTCGCAACGATTCTCGAACGCCGGCAGGCAAGACGTCTGGCACCGTGGTGAAGTGGGCTGCCGTGGTCGAGTTAGGGATGCAGTCCTCCCTTTTGGTAAACGGAGTCAGCTCAGGTTGTTGTCCCAGCCGGTATCCACCACCAGAAAAGTCGAGTGTCATGCTTTCGCCTGTAATGAAATCTCGGCCCAAGATCACAGGTACCACAAGTCCTGGCATATAAAGAAATCGCTGACGTCGCTTCTTTCCATTAAACCGAATCTGCAGCCTCACGGCTCCTCCAGCTGTTATCGCTGTACCAGAAGCTAGCTGCAAACGGGTTTCGCACTCCCGGAGGCTTATCTTTTTTGCTTTGCAGAGTTCGAAAACGAAATCCCCTATGAGCGAGATAGCGGCCCCAGAATCCAAAAGTGCGGCAATGGGAAAATCGAGCAGAGATATTGTCATGCGCGGTTCAATGATGTTAGGCTCGGGCTGGATTCGACATACCGATGGAATCTGTGCCGCGGCCTGACCGCTCCCAGGGACTGCACCGGCCGTCGGCGAGTGGCTGTCTGGTTTCAGCGTCGCCGGCCGTAGTAGTTTCCCTGGTTGTTTTGGTTCCGGCCCTTTGCCGCCGTCTCGTGCCACCTCTTGTTTGTAGTGTCCAGAAGCCTTGGACACTGCTTTCGGTGAAGGCCGGGCTGCTCGCACTCGTAGCAGCAGTCCGACGACAGTTGCCTGCTTAGGCCACCCGCACCGAGGTGCCCGTCGGACCGCCTCCAGTGATCGGATAAGGAACCACTATGGGAGGGCCTCCACCAGGCTTGCGACTGGCTGTTGTGGGGAGGGCTTGCTCCGTTGCGGCGGGGGTCAATGCTGCTGGGCTGCGGGTTTGCGACCGCACCGTGCCAGTTTTCGCCAGCACTTGCAGGAGCAGACTGATGAAGATGGTTCGCTTGAGTGGTGATCTCCGTTGGGCCCCAGCTTACGATAGGGCACGGCCAACGACCTCCCACCTGTCGTGGCGACCCCCGCCCGAAACCCTCACGGGCCTCGCTGTGACCTCCGGGGACCTCTCGGGGAGAGTTAGGCGAACATACGCTTATCCCGCACGGGATATCACCATGCATGCCACGCCAACTCTCCTGGTTGACGTGGTGGGGAAGGGAGGTCTCGTTCGGACGGTCCACTTGCGTGGAGGCCTCGGGGCCCCGCCATGCGCATGCCGGCTCGAGCGCGTACTTGGCTGGTGGCGGCGGCACGTAGTTCCGCTCGGCATGAAGAGCTTCCTCGATGAGGCGGGCGCCCCGGGCTAGCTCTTCAAGGGTCTCAAAGGTGCGGTTGATCAGGTAGACGTGGTACCTGGGGTGACACTGTCTTCTGACCCGAGCTACTCTGTCCGACTCCGGTGACTTCGGGTCCGCCCTCTTGAAGAGCTCTTGCATGACCCGAACGTACCGGACCAGACTTTCATCCGGGTGCTGCGTCCTTGCCTCGAGCTCTCGGAGAATCTGCGTCGCGTAGCCTGCAGGCAAGAACTCTTCTCGAAGCCTTGTCTGGAAGTCCGCCAGGCTGGTGAAGGGGGTCTGTGACCCCAACCAGCACCTGGCGCTGGCTTGTAACGCCAGCGGGACAATCCGGTCCACGATGAAGGCTTCTGAGGCACCGGAGGCAAGGTGGTACGTCTGCAGCTCGCCCAGGAAGTCTGCCACGGACTTGACGTCGTCGTACCCCATGTAGACCGGAACAGTCAAGTGTGGTCTGGGCTCTCGCGGTGGGGTCTCCTACTGGCCAGGCGTGCGGGCCAGGCGCTGCATCGCGGAGTCGCACATCTCCGTGACCTTCGTGAGCAGGTTCATTTGTGCTGCTGCGGCCATCGCGGCTTCCTGCTCCCGCGTGAGCATTCCTGCAAGCACACAAAAAAAACAGAAACGCCCCCAAAAACCCAACACAAGCGCGCAAAACGATTGCCGCGTTAACAAAGACACGGTCACAAACACGTCAATACAACAAACGTGGACGTGGCGGAAGCACGAAACAACGATAGGAAACACGGGGAATATGAAAAAGGCTTACCGAAAGAAGAAACGAAGCCCCGTGAAATTCCTTCGAGTGGGTAGCATACCACGGTTGGGCGCCATTGTGGTCGGTTTGCCTTGCTGCATACCCGACCCGGAGGAATAACACGGAGCCAACGGTTTCAACAACAAGAAACTACATTTAATAAGACAAAGACAATCACAATACTAACATGGTTATTTCAGCTCGGCGGAAATCGGCCGACTGCCTTCGCGCCGCTCCTGTCTCGCCTAATATAGGCGAGCGGCACGACGCGCGCGTGGCCGGCTGCTTGCCGCCACCTTGCGGCCGAATGATGGCCGCGGTATTTTGGGTACCGGGCAACCGTGTGCCCCCACAGGTTTGACATGAGTAGCGAGCACTGAATTTTTTGAAGTTTTCACACAAGTCAGTTGAAACACAATGTTTGTTGTTAACTTAAGAACGATAAAAAAACGTGAATAGAAAATAAAATAAACCAGAATTATTTCAACCATGCAAGCTATAACCATCCTCAATATTTAATAATGGGCTTTGGCTCAGCGTTGTACACTGAACTTACTCACTCGGATAGCTGCACTTGGATAGAGCACGGAAAAGTTAATTCATAAATGTTCATTCTAGCATTTCTTATTGACAATGGCAATAATAAAATCGGAACTGCACTCGCCTAAACTTAAAACTAGAAGATTTTTTTTTTTTTAAGTTCTGAATGCGAAGAGCCGAGGCGGAAATCTGGGCTCGTCACTACAGGCCGTCACTTCCATTCTCGTTGCTATCTATGTTCAGGGTCATCAAATTATTCTGGAAGAAGTGGACTTTCATTTAAAGGCCGGATGAATGACATTAATGCCGGCTTCATGCGTTTCTTCGCTTTAAGGTTTCGAAAAACGATTTTGTTTTGAATAGAAGAGCTTTAGGCAACATAACAATTCAATTTTCAAATTATTATTGTTTGCTCGAAACAGTTTTGTTTCTGTCGTAATCGTTTTCCTCTCATGTTTTACACAATCCAAAAAATGTGCGGTCTTTTGTTGAGAATGGCGCGATTGGCAGATAGAAAAATTAGTACGTTGCTGTCAATTCATGGTGTTCCCTCGTTTGGGTATACGAAAAAAATTTTTTTTTAATACTGAATATTATTTGAGATTCGCATAAACAACTGATGAAATATATTTTCTTGCAGATTAAACGAAAACCTGGCTATATTTTCTGCGTTCTCGGAGGCATTCAGGTGCCCTTATCAATCAAGCATGAAAAAACCCGACACATGTACTTTGATAGGAGATATAAAGTGACGTATATACCATGCTTGTTCGAAAATAATGTACTGGCACAAGAGACTGACAGATTATTTGGAATAAACAAGCAAAGCAATTGCTAAAAGCTGTCTTTCAACTTCCCAGAGGGTGACCAAATGTTCGTAATCCTCTGAATACTGGTTTACCTGCTTTAGAAATCACTAAAACATAGTGCATGTTTCTCTGGATGGTATATCATGGTTGTCGTTGCCGTTTTGATCAGTAGATTCCCGCTGTCTAATAACACTGAATATAATTAATCATTTCAACTCTTGGGGTAAGAAAATGGGACAAGAAAATGCCGGGACACGCAAAGCTAAAGAACGTTGCCGAGCCTATACGTTCTGTTACGTCGTCTGCTAATGGAGACTCCAGATGTGTGAAGGGCGTCAATGTAACAGTTCACAGTCAATATCCCATTGGTTTTTGAAGAATTTTTCAGAAAGGTCAAAGTTATATAGTTTTCGATGCACACAGCTGAACATCGAGCCCGTGCACACATCGGGTTGACCCAGAATTTCCCGCACCGCGCGGTGCAATGGGGGGTTGTCCGGAGGCATTGTGGATTTTTTTAACATGTAGCAAATCAATTGATAGCTAGGTATTTCGTAACGAGAAAATTCGTCGATAGAGCAACTACTGGAAAAGCGGAAAGGGCCCGCATTGGAACATGCTTGTATGGGGCTGAAATGGTACCAAGCTTTTAAGATTAAATTAATTGAATAACTTTTTTGTGCCAGATTATTCAGGTTTTACATCGTTCGGTGGCTATTAGTTGTAAGTTTCCGTAGAGTATCTTGTTCAGAACATTTTTCCCTCCTTGAATGATTTCTGGGGTGATAAATGTTTCAATTAAGCTTTCTCAATACTTGGAAGCTAACGCTTCAAGGATTGCTCGGTTGTCTTCTCCTTATGTTTTTTTTTTTTTTTTTTAATGCGATTGAGTATTATGGAATTTATGTTCACAAGAGCTGGATATGCTACTTAGGGTTCGTGTAGTCTTTAGTCTATAGAAAGTAGACACAAGACTAGAGAAAGGTTTCAACCAAGCTTCCAAGCTTACAGGATGAAGGTTGGATACATTTTTGCTACGTGCATGCTTTTTGTTTTTTATTGATACATTAGCATACATAAATAAACCGTTTTGGGTGAAGACTGATGTTTCAATTGAAGTAGTTTTGATGAGATGAGGTGAGGAGTTTATTTGATTTGCGACAGATTTTTGTTGAGTTCGAACGAAAAGGCGCTAAACAACATCTGCTGGGTATTTCGCAGGCTCGACACGTGCGAAGAAAAACTAACGTCAATTGTTTTAAAGCTTCGTGTTGTGAGCCCTGCCGCCAATTTCTCGATTTTCTCGCTAAATCTAGCGGTTTTCAAGTCATGTTAGCGTTGTTTCCGGGAGTTTAAGACACTTTCCAGTTTACGCTACGTAAGTTAGAGTATTGGGGTCTCTTGTATGGCGCATTTGTCATAATTACACTTAGGTAACCATAGCTAACCACAAATAATCGACACCCGCGAAATTCACCGAGGGGCCCAGCGGGAGACTAACCCCGAACCATACGATCAGCAAGTGACGGCTTTGCTCGGGGCCACAAGGATTTCTAGAGGTCAGCTCTTAGGCGCCCGTTTCCGGGTTGAGCAGCGTGGGCGTCGGCGTCAGCGTTGCCGCGCGCTTTGCTTCATGGGACGTCACACTCTCCCCGCTAAATTTATCAGGAACACTGAATTGGTGTTAAGGTCAAGTGACGTTAATTTCCTTGATAACTTTAGCGGAGTTACTTAAACCGTTATATTTAGCGGAAAAAATTCGCCAAATTTTACCGCTAAACTTAGCGGGTAAATTTCTCCTTTAAGTTTAGCCGTAAAATGTTTGCTATATTTCTCGGTGAATTCAGCGGCAATTTTTCCCCTCTAAATTAAGCCGGGAACGTTTCGATCGATGAATTTAGCAGGAAAGTTTGCGAAAATTTCCCGCTAAATGGGAGGGGAGCAGAAGAGGAGGAGAGGGGAGTATAGAAAGGGAGGGGGCATACCTTCCTCTCCGTATCCTTCCCTCCTCCTCCTCAAGAGCTGCGCTTCAATTCGGCATTAAAGAGAATTGTAAACGTCTTTCATTTTAGAGCGCAGCTCTTAAGGCACGACCACATTGGCGTCGCGGAGGCGTGCGGCGCGACGGTCGGCGGGGCCGGCTGCCGTCCTAAACCAGTTTCGGCTTCAACGGCGCGACGTACAGCGCCGCAGAGCCAACCGCTCCTTGCGCGGTTCAGAGCTCGCCGTGCCGCGCCGCAGAAGAGAGGAGCCAATGGGAGGTGGCGTAGATAGTGACGTTGCGATGCCATGGCAACGCTCAAGCCGGTCCTCCGCGCGTCTTTCACGTTCCGAAGGACGTAGCGCTGTTTCGTGTCGTCTGCTATCCCTATTTACCCCCGATGCATTCCCCAACGGGGCGTGTTCCTTGAAACTGTGTGAATGTTTCCCTTTTGATATGACAAGACGCAGCCAGACTACCTAGATAAGGCCGCTAAGAACAACCGCTGGGAAATCATAGGAGAGGAATACGGCAGGGCCGGCCTTTGGGGTGGGCGACCTGTGCAGCCGCACAGGGCGCCATTCGTAGGGGGGCGCCGAAAGGGCCGCCAGGTTATGCAGGGCTCACACCTCGAGGGGATAAAATCAAAAACAAAAAACGACGGCATCGCGGAGGGCGCCCCCCCCGCCCCCCCCCCCCCCCCCCTTCCCCCTTATGTTAATAAAGGTGGTGGCGCTGGCCGTTTGGCATTTCGGCCGGAAAACCAACGACTAAGTTCTTGTTATAACTGGCGTCTATCAACTCGTAGCCACCTGCAGATGTTTTACGACAGAGAACCTCTCCTTCGTGAGATTCAAAGTGCCATGGAATGAATCATGAACGACTAGGCAAGCGATCACTTCCGCACAGCTCTCAAATTACGAGCGGAGTAAAACCTGACTCGCGAAAAGCGATGGAGCCAGCATGCCGCACTCTTAGTGCAACTTACCAAACGGTGGCGCCAAACTCATCGGCGAGCAAATCAGTGTGTCGGAGCAAGTCACGGGACTATTGGAACGGAATTTTGCTCTCAGTTATAACGTGCTTCGCTCAGAGTCTCTGATTGGCTCGCAGAAAATATAGGCTTCGCCCTTTGCCAAGTTATATTGAGCCGAAGAATGCCTTCGCTCAGGAGGTCTGACCGGGGGTAAATTGAACCTGATTCCTCCCGATATTCGAGTTGCACTTTGGGCAACGATCGCTGTGGAGTCTCTAGCAGTAAGCTAAACGAGCCAATGCCCCCTCAGCATCCGGTGAGTCTCTATGCACAGAGGCTTCGACCCGACTGAAAATATAATATGGGTCCGCAGCTCTTTCGTTTTAGAGCGCAGCTCTTAGGGGCCCGTTTCCAGCCTGAGCGGCGTCGGCGTAACCGGGGGGGGGGGGGGGGTTCACGTGACCTCCCCCCGAGGTCACGTGACCCCCCCCCCCCGAGGTTACGTGACCCCCCCCCCCCCGAGGTCAGGTGACCACTCCATATCACGTGACCCCCCCCCTCCCCCCCCCCCGAGGTGACGTGACCCCCCCCCCCCCGAGGTCACGTGACTACCCGCAGGTGACGTGACCCCCCTCAGTACCCTTCCCTACTCCTCCTCAAGACCTGCGCTCCAATTCGGCGTTACAGGGATTTGCAAACGGCTTTTTTTTTTGTGTGTGTGTGTGAGCGACCAGCTGCAACTCCGGACTCGCAATGCCGATCAATGTTGCCAACTCGAAATTCAGAAACCCGCCGCAAGAATCCCGAAAACCGCTAAAAACAACTAAATTAATAATGTTGCGCAAGAATGGCCGAATCACAGCAGGCAGACCCAGGCGTCCGACATGAACCTCGAACTCCTGCTGGGCAGCTCACGGAAATTAAGTTTCTCGTTTACATTGTTGTGTGGTACGACATTCTTTTTTCAAGTTAATTTTGTCAGCAAGGACATGCAATGCAAAACGAAGGAAATCGTAGCAACCACCCAGCTGATGAAAGCATTCAGCGATTACATCGACAATTATCACGATGTCGGGTACGAAACTGCAACTGGCAACTGCGAACGGTCTTCCCGAGAGCATGGGTGTTGACAGTGTGATGAAACCGGGCCCCTCCACGTCGGCGGAAAAAGCGCCGATTCTGTTATGAGTGCCAACACGAGGTTGATGACGTCGAGACAAAATTCAAGCAAGAGTTCTTCTACGAGATGACTGACACCGTAAGATGTCGATTGAAGAACGCTTCACGCAAATGCAGCAGCACGTGAGCTTGTGGCGGTTCCTTTACGGCCTCAGCCGTCTTCCCCACAAAGCAGAACTTAAACTTAAACCATGCACTGAGAGTCTGCGACACCTAGAAAGTGCAGACATGGACGGTACAGATCTCTGCGGGGAGCTGATATAACTATGCAGCCTTCTGCCCACTGGATGCAGTGCTTGCCAGGACGTCCTCCAGTTCATTATGGTCAACCATCTATGTGACAAATTCCCTTATACGTGGGTGTCATTGAGGATCCTCCCCACTTTGCCAGTGTCAGTGACCACCGCTGAGAGGAGTTTCTCGAAATTAAAGCTTATTAAGACATACCGCAGATCAACCATGGCAGATGACAGGATATCGTCATTGTCAATTTTGTCCATTTAAAACAGGATACCGTCTAGCCTGGATATGTCACAAGACGTAGCCCAATTTGCGATGTTGAAGGCTCGGAAGGTTGCCTTCTAGGGTATTTACATGGTTAACTTGTGCTTTTGTTTTCTGCGTCCATCAGACGTTAGTTGCTATTGCAAACCCACAGCTGAAGTTCGGTTAATCTAAGAAATAAATTATTCTTGAACCTTTAAACACGTTGCCGACAAAACTCTCAATGCTCGCGAACGCCGTTCCTTTTTAAGGTAGTGGTTTTCGACAGACAACGACAAAATCGCGACCTTTCGCACTGGGTCA